GGTGTTGGTGTGGGGGTGTGGGTGTTGGTGCGGGTGTTGGTGTAGGGTGTTGTTGTAGGGTGTTGGTGTAGGGGTGTGGGTGTTGGTGTAGGGGTGTGTGTGTTGGTGTAGGGTGTTGGTGCGGGTGTTGGCGTGGGGGTGTGGGTGTTGGTGCAGGGGTGTGGGTGTTGGTGCGGGTGTTGGTGTGGGGGTGTGGGTGTTGGTGTAGGGTGTTGGTGTGGGGTTGTGGGTGTTGGTGTGGGGGTGCGTGTGTTGGTTTAGGGTGTTGGCGCAGGGGTGCGTGTGTTGGTTTAGGGTGTTGGTGCAGGTGTTGGTTTGGGAGTGTGGGTATTGGTGTGTGAGTGTGGGTAATGGTGTAGAGTGTTGGTCAGGGCGTGGGTGTCGGTGTGGGGGTTTGGGGGTCTGCATGGGTGTGTCAGTGTGCGGGTGTTGGTGTGGGAGTATAAGGGTGTCGGTCTGGATGTCAATATGGGGGCGTGGGTGTGGTTGCAGGCATGGGTGTGGGTGTAGGGGTGTTGTTGATGTTGTGTTGGTGGTAGTGTGGGGTTTGGATGTGTGGCGGTTGGTGTAGGGGTGTTGGTGTGGTGTGAAGCCTGGGTGGGTGGGGGTGTTGGTGACGGTGTGTGGGGGTGTTGGTGAGTGTGTGGGGGTTGGTATGGGTATTGGTATGGTGTGGAGTCTGAGTGTATGGGGGTGTTGGTAAGGGTGTCTAGGTTTGGTCCCCTCAAAAACACTCTGCCTGATTGAGGTCATAGGCAAAGGAGAGTGCATTGCTCGCTGATAGCGCTTGCCTCTGATCCCCCTGCCCCCTTTCTGGACAGTTGCATCACTGGATATCTACCCTCCACCCACACAGATCAGATTAGGTTGCTTCTGGATCCTTGAATTCCATGGTTAGTTTTCTGGCAGGAGCCAGGCTCCTACATGGCACTGCTGAGCACAGAAGCTGCTACAGTGTCTAATTGGCTGGCAGCTCCTATTGGACACAATTTGTGCCCCCTCCATTGAAATCTCATTCCAGAAGAAAGCCCACCAGTGTTCTCAGAACTCTCTGCTTGGCTGGTTAGCAGGAGACCTGGAAGACCTTCCTTGGAAGATGCAGCAAGGAATCTCTCAGTTGCTATCCAGCCAGCAAGTGAAACTCACTCTGCTAATGGAAGATTGTGTACATACAGTAGCAATAAATGTTTGAATTAAGTTATTCAACAGCACCAGTTAGTAGTATTCCTATTCTGTACACATACCCGAAGTAGCTAAGGTGGCCACACATGCACAGGAGTTGCACTGTACAGTGGCATCTCCTGAACGAAGCAGCTCAAGTATGGGCTCCAGCAATCCAACCTGTACCACTGTCTCTTTGTTCACTGTAGAAATAACAGATGAGCAAATGTAACGTAGATCATAAATACAACTTTCTTCTAATGTTATATTGGTCTTGTCAAAGGATAGGAAAGCATCCTCTGTTTTAGTAGCATAAACCTGCTTGAAAACCAGCAATTACGTTAAAAAGGTCGGTGCTTATATTTACATATATCCAGCCAAATGTTGCAGTGTGACAAAGGTGTTAGATGAATTAGTTGAACACTGAAGTAGGAAATTAAATAGAAGAAATGAGTGCCTCACCCAATTTTTAGTTTGAGATAAAACAGGTGATACTCAAGAATATTCTGTCTAATTAAAAAGCCAAGCATCTTCTTTCATTGTCACTCAGCCTATGATGGATGGGGAGATATTGTGGCTGCTTTCGCTCTTGTTTGTGGTATGAGTGCTCCATTTCTGGGCACAACATGGAAAACTGGGGATGTCTTAAGATTGAGTCTGATATAAAACCATTTGGATCTTGTATGGTCTTGGTTAGAGATCAGACAGAGGTGCTATTGTACTTCAAAAAGTAATAACGTTTTAAAATTTAGGTAAAGTACAACTTACATCATTAATGTGGCTTGTGACCGGATTTTCCAGATTTTTGTTGGTTCCAAGCCTGGTACAGGCTGCCATATTTAAACTCTATGTTTGGCTCCGTGACAAACAGAATCTTGCTTGTATATTGCTGAAATAAAGATGGTTTTAAAGATTTTTGTCTTGCACTCATCAAGCCAACCACAAAATTCCCAAATTTCAAATGATTACAGCAATATATACCACAGGAAAAAAAAAGTGTTGATTGGTTGACAACACAACAAGCCAAACAATCTACACGCTTTTCTCCAGTAATGTATATTGTTGCAATGTTTTCATATTTGGCATTCTTGCATCTGTTCTGATGAGTGCAAGACAAAAAGTTTTGGCAACGTGTCTTTCCTTTCAACAATATTTAATACTAAATCTTTGAAATTCTGACAAGTTTAAAGAGATTGCAGAAAAATTTTTGTTTGTTATAATGACAAAACTGCTTTGATTTCTTTATAGTGTCAGTGAACTTTACTATAAAGGATAGTTCCTGACTCTCACTATGCCCAGTGGCAGAATGAGGAATTGGACATTTTACAATGCATATATCATTTGTGGGAAGAGGGAAAATGACTGAGACTTTTTGAATGCTAGCACAAATTCTTTGTAACTGTGATCCATGGCTAATGGCCCCTCTTTATTCTACTCAAACTCATCATTCTTTCTATTGCCTTCCACATGATCAAACTGCTCTATTCTTCCTGAATCTTTTTCCTCAACAGTTAATCACGATGATAGAACTCTTCCTTGGTTTTGCTTTTTCCTACATTATGATGTTAAAAAGCAAAGACATGTGTTGCCCACTCACCATTACCCTCCACTAAGAGATTGACCAGTGATAGAGAAGCCTTCCTCTGCACTTCCAAATCATTGGACCGTAACAAATCACAATATGGCTCCAGGTATTCATCAGGCAATTCATTCTTCACTGGAAAAAGTAATAGACTAATGAATAATAATCATTTTTTTTATCAGACCAGACTGTTTTGCTTTTAGGGTGGCACTCATTGGTGGATTATTTGATGGGTAGTACCTGGCACAAATGGAGCTATGTGGAGCATGAAGAGAATTGGAGCACATGATGCATATGTGGCTGCCAATGGTTAGTAATGGCAGAAGTGGAATTGGAAGGCCGGTGGAGAACCAAAACAATGCAACATGAGGGAAGCCCAATAAATAAGTGACTCCTGGATCAGAGATAGGAACACTAGCACATTACCACAAGAATCCTCTATGTAGTTATGTTCAGACTACCTTTGGGGCTGGTGGGACTTGAAACCAGTTCTCCTAGCTTAGAGGTAGCACTGGCACTGCTCAGCTGTGGCTCAGCTCTTGTGGGTCATCTCAACAATCCTGCCAGATATATATATTATCAACCTATACAGCTACCATCCTTTAATTGCTCATTCCTTTTACATTTTCCTGATGCAATTTTCTGTTTTTATCATCAATGTTATCTTTCCAGAATCCTAAACTGTACCTCAAGCTTTGATAATGAGCATACTTCAGAAAACTAACTGCCTATATAATGTAATCTGAAACCTATTTCTAGACTTCCGGATATCAACTGTTGTAATGCCATAAAATCAAGTCAATTCGTCAGTAATATGGAGGCAGAACCCTCAAAGGAGTGAATGCAATTCTCTCCATTAGAGACAGACAATTGGCTATGTAAAGCTTGAGGGCAGGCACTCCATTAGCCTTGGGTGAGGTGAGGAGGCAGCTCCCCAATTATATTCGAAAAGGACTGAGTCCAAGCTGTTAGCTTTATTCTGCACCACACTCTTAATTATCTAGCCAACTGAGCTACTCCCGTGCCCTTAGTAGGATAGCTTTTAAAATAATTTTGTTAAAATACTGTACTTACACTGTTCACTGATATGTAGGTAATAGAGAGCAGCTGATTGCTGTAGACTTGGGTTTTCAGAAGCAGCTAATGTCCGCAAAGCTTCCAGACATTCATTGTCAATCATTTTACTTTCTGAAGTTGAGAGGCAAATGAGACAACACAGTTGTTTTAGGGGAGACATAAGGATTGAAATTGCAGTATGAGGCATTAGTGTAGAAATGCTTAATATTTGTTGAAACTCTACTGACTGCAATTTAATGGAAGCAGATACCTAAATTTTGGACTTAAACAAAGAACTGTGGATGTTAGAATTCTGAAACAAAAACATAAATTGCTTGAGAAACTCAACAAATCTGGCAGCACCTGTGGAGAGAAAGCAGAGTTAACTTTTCTTTTCTGAAACTTTATTTTTGACCTCTTAATCCACTTATACTTTTCCATCCCTTCACTTCTTCTGCGTATACTGTGTTGGACTTGATTATACTCTGCTTTCTTCTTTGACTTTTGTTCTGGGAACACGATAAGACTAATTCATGTCAGTGAGTTGGTGCCTGATCTGTGACCTGACTCCATGTGTGACATTTTCCGGGCCTGCCAGACAGCTTTTAGAAGGGCAGGCAAGGTTAGTTAATTGGGCAAGAGGCAAAATTCAATCTGCCAACAGCAGGTTAAAGTTATGCTTGCTTGTTTTCAGAATCTTATAGGCAGGTCATCTATTCCAACCATCAAGGTCAGGAACCTGCTTTGAATCCATCAACCTGTCATGAGTATTCATTTACACCCAGCCCACAGGAATTGCTTTTACAGGTGGAACGCTGTCCTCCAAAAATACAAAGCATATACTCATAAACATGACAATATATATGAGGTGTGTACCTGCTAGGGTAGGCTTTCTCCTCCAGACTCTGATCAATATAACTTGCTTCATTTACTTAGCTCCTTCATAACCAAGGTATTTCTCTGTGCAAATACTTACTGTGTTAGGTATGCAGTCTCTTCCTAAGAAGTATTAGCCATGTGTAGTTTGGTTTATTGTCATTTAATGCTTACAGTGTTAGGGGTGAAGTCTGACCAGGCCAACAAGCCTGCTCAAGTGAGGCAACCACACCGGCCGATGAAAACAAACCTGACAAGGGCAGGCAAGCATGACTGTACTTGAAACAGGGCACAATTCAATTTGCCATCTTGAGCAGCTGGGTCTTTATCCCATGAAGCCTTTGGTAAAAAGCTATCAAACGTGCATGTTTTTCTAGTTGTGATGAATGTTCAGCGATCTGACGGTGTGTGAGCTGCTGCGTGTTGTAGCTCCTTTCCTGTTTTAAGTGTCAACTCTAGCAGATATTTGAAAGGCAGTACCAGTCTGGTGCCAGTAATTCTACAAAGGTAGCTGCATTTAAGTGGCAGATATTGACTACTTGTGAAGCATCTGATGGAGATGGCCAACACCCAATCTCATCCTCTTGCAATGCTACCTCACACCAATAGGAGCATGACGCATTGAGTAGAAAGTGGTGCATACTGGCAGAATGTAGCAGATCATTCATTGTCTAGTGGCACTGAAGTAGGTTCTCTTAAGTTGCTCATAGATTCTGACCTCTGCAGCCACCTCTGTTCAGGCTGCCTTTGTCACTCAGGATAGCTGTTTCACTATCCATAGGGAAAGGAACTTCCCTTCTCTCCTGGACAGCTTTTAGGGGGGCCATTGCTAAATTGTGGTGCCATTTGCTTTGCCTGATCTCTGACATCTCCAGAGGTGGGTGGAGGTGAGGAGCAGAGAGTGAATGATATTCCTGGTTGCAGAGTGTGAAACATTAAGTGTCTTTTAAACATGGTCACCAAAAGGTGTAGGTGGAAGGGGTAGCAGAACATTCTGCCCATGTAGAGTTATAGAGTTATACAGCACAGAAACAGACTTTGCTCATAAAAACTGGTGTTTTACGCAGACATGAATATGTAATGAGAAGAATGTAATTACACATGAAAACTAGCCTACCCCTGATTGGAAGCCTCTCCCTATTTTAAACCTGCTTTCACACTTAGTCTGAGAGAAAGAAAATCCTGCCCCAAATATCTTTTTATAGTTCAAAGTGATAGATCACTGGGCACAATATTCACAAAGCCTCAGGACAATTACATTGCTCCCCTATTCTACACAGTTAATAATCAACACTCCAGCAACTTGAAGGATAAACAGAGTGTGATATAAATGGTGAGTAATAAAGACCAACTAAAGATATTCACTGCTAAACTCATGATTGCAACAATTTCTGGTCCATCGTGCTTATAATGGGTTTGAACCCATTGACTCCTACCTTACAAAATTACAAGAATAATATAGCTCAAGGCTGAATCAGTCGGGGCTGCATGGCAGTTGAGTGCTTAGCACTGTTTGCTGCCTCACAGCACCAAGGATCCAGGTTCAATTCCAGCCTCGGATGACTGTCTGTGTGGAGTTTGCACATTCTCCCCGTGTCTGCGAGGGTTTCCTCCGGGTGCTCTGCCAATGACGTGCAGGCCAGGTGGACTGGCCATGGGAAATGTGGAGTTATGGAATGGGGAGTGGGTCTGAATGGGATGCTCAGCAGAGGGTCAGTACAGAGTCTGAATGGCATTTTTCTGCCCTGTAGGAATTCTATAATTCTAAAAATTTAAACCGGATCAAATGGACTAGCATTAGCTTTTTAAGAAATATCTATTTACAAATGTATTAACAGGATTGGAATGATTCCATAGTTACAGCATTGGCTAATGGAGCAGTGTACCATAGTGAATTACTAACTATTTTTGTCTGCAGGCTGTTTTCTAAACAATGCCATCCATCTAAAGTAAATTCTATATAATAACTTGTTACACAACTGTTACTGTAAGACTGTTAAGATTGTATTAATATTCCAAGTACATGAAGTTGTGCAAAGTGAATATTTAAAACACTCACAAATTGTGCTACAAATGATGATAATTAAAAATAATATTATTGAAAAGACTAAAAATTACATGGTCCTCAATGAAGCTTCTGCAATGCAATCTTTACATTATAAAAACATCATGAAAAGAAGAAAACAAACCCATACCACAATTAAGTCATAATCCAAGGCAGGAAGTGAAGCCTATAATAATGTAAATATGATTAGCTTGGAAGAAATGTTGCATTGTAGGCACAAGCTTACCTTCTTCGACATGCTGCAAAAACTGCTGCGCAGCTTCTTTCTCATGTTGTTGAAGAACTGGTTTGTAAAACCTGTTTGACTCAGGTTTATTCCGTTTCAGACAGCAACAGCATTGTATTGATGTAAAAAAATCTTTTATTTTCTGCAAGAGGTTTTCTGAGGCCCTCCGTATCAATTCCATAAAATTCTTCAGGTGTTGCCTGCATGAGTCACAGAACATCTCCATCATTCAATTTTTTTCATCCACACAGCTGAAACTCTTAGTTCTCAAACGTTAATGAGTTAAAGCTTTAGGAAAGCAAGAGGCATAAGACGATATGCTGTCTGAAGTTGTTTTCTTCACCAAGTCTGGAATACATTAAAAATTAATAAGTTTATATTTTGATAAAAACATTACTATTTAATATATACAGGTATTTTTAGAGGCAGAGAAGCACAAAGTTCTCAACATTTCACGTTGTGATGGCTCTGTTCCAAAATTAAAGCTTCAGGTGCAGTCTGTTTGATTTGTTTCACTTCAACACACTCACCATGTTTTCACAGTAGAGAGTACATCTGCACTGCAAACAAAGCCTACCTGTGCTTCTCTGATAATAAAGAGGAGTGGCTAAAACAGTGGCACAGGGCAGTACTAATCTGTCAAGCAAATCCACCTCCCCACTGGAATTAAAATCTGTGATAGACATTCAATTGACAAACTATTTTGATCTGAAACAGATCTATTTCTTCTTCTAGTTCACCATTCTAGAATCCCAAACTGAAAAAGGCTAGGAATTGAATATGAAATCATATGTTTAATGTGAAACTGTCTTGTTGTTCAACAGTAATTTATGAGATGTCAGGATTTTATGTCAACGAGCAATCCAGTCAATGTAGGAGGTTATCTTCTGCTTGATAGTTTATTTTTTTTATAACAATATTTGCTAAATGCTTTTGAAATTCAGGTTTGTGCACATGTTCCTGAAGAATTTGGTTTCATATTGGGTGGCTGATGAGTTAGAATCAGGACTACTGCTCTCTCCAGTGTGTGCTGCTAGGGATGACTTTGGGTCATTTTCCAAATTCCTGCTCCCTGCAGGAGACTTGCGCAGCAACAATCCAAATTTCAGTTGTCGGACCCACTTCTACTTCTCTGGCCTCACAACAATAAGACTAGGGCATCTTCTTCTGCTTTTATTGAGCTAGGTTTGGATGACCATGGTAGGATCAGGTGGTCATCTCAAGCATCTGTGAAAATAGAAGCATTTATAAAAAGAAGCCACAGGGTGGAAACAGTGTACTAATTTCATACAAACTCTCTTTCCATTTGGTTTTTCCCTGGAGGAGGGAGTTAAAATATTCCCCATATAAAGTCAGAACCTGTGTACTCTTTTGTTCGAGGAACAGTTAGAATTTATTACTTGCAATGCACAAAGGTCATAGACTAAGTGTGTTACCATGGCATCAATGGCCTGGAGAAACACAAACATGCTCGTATATTTGAATAGGACTTGAATATTTGCCAAAATGCTTTGCATTTTCGCTCTCTGTCGCAGCTCCAAATTTGGAGGTTAAATTGCCTCATAGTATGAAACAAAATGTAAACACAATTATTCTAGTAAACTTCTTGGGCTAAAAAAACTCACCTATTCTTATGTTTGGTATATAGGTGAGGTAATTCTTGGTCTTGCACTTTCCTCTCTCCATGTTGATCTGATGTTGTTTTCACAGTGCTCCCAAAAATTGTCTCATTGCTCTTCCTTCATCTTTGATTTCCCTCCCCTGGCCCCAGAAAAAAGACTTGGGTGTTTGATTTTGCTCTAACTTCTCCTTTTTAACAACCAGATTGTTTAAAGGCAAAACAGCAGCAGGTTAAAAGTTCCAGGTAATCCACCTTTCATCCTGCTATGTTCCCACATTGTGTTAGGCCATGAGCACCATGGTTTCATGCAATGAGCTGTTCTTGCATCAGTAAGTGATGTTGGATATTTAACTTAGAAAAACCCAAACAGCATTATAGCTGCTCTTAAGGCAAATCAATTTCAATGTTTAAATGATTGCTTATAATCCTCCTGTTGTTCCCTGTATAATGCAATCTTTAATAAATCATTAGCTTACTGTTTGTATATCTAATCAAACAACTGTTTTATGTCGTTGTTGCTGGTGTTACAATGGCAGAAATACATTAGGATAAGGACTCGATTACATACTTAGTTTGTGTATGTGCCTGTGCCTGTCCTGCCACTGTTGAAGTGGCTGCCAGTTAAACAGCAGGTTTTCATTGCTGCAGTCAACTGCTCCACTGAGACGAAAACTGCTTAGTCAAATGGCCAGCCTCACCCATTGAAACACATTACAATGGAAGGTCTGTTCCTTCTAAGAAACAGTGGTGCTCATGGGGAAAAAAAACACTTCCAGTGCTGGGACCGTAACAGATTATCTAACACCTGAAGCTTTTAAACAGCTGCTGGTTGATCTTAAAACAATCTTGTTGCCACAAGGAGAAAGTTGAATCAAACACCTCAGTCATCCCTTTGTGGGGCTAACGGAGGTGAAACAAAAGCCTGTGACAGAGATCTCAAATTAATGAAGCAATTTTTGGCAGCATCAGATCTGCAATGCATGTATCAGAGTGAATATGATTTCAGCTAAACCATAGACATGGGAGCAGGTGGGAAAGAATTGAAACTTACAACTGGTGGTTTCCCTGCATCAACTGAAGCATTGTAAAAGACAACAACTAAACTCAGTCCTGTCAACCCTGCAAAGTCCTCCCTGCCAACATCTGGGGTATTGCCAAAGTTGGGGGAGTTGTCTCACAGATTAGTCAAGCAACAGACTGGCATAATCATACACACAGAATCATACCTTACACACAACGGCTCACACAATACCATCACTATCCACCAGCAGGGCAGACCCAGCAGAGGTCGTGGCACATTGATATATGACCGGAAGAAATCGACCTGAAAGTTATCAACTCCATGAGCCCCCATGAAGTCTCATGGTATCAAATCCAACATAGGCTGCTGATTACAACATATCTACATCCACTATCTCACCACCATGGCTGATGAACCAATACTCCTCTATGTTGAAAACCATCTGCAGGAAGCACTGAGGGTGGCAAAGGCACAGAATATCCTCAGGGAGGGGGGGGGGGTTTCAATGCCCATCTCCAAGAATGCTTCAGCAGCAGCACTAATGATCAAGCCGGTCGGGTCCTCAAGGACGTGGCTGCTAGACTGGGTCTACAGCAGGTGGTGAGAGAACTAACAAGAGTGAAAACATACCTTACCTCATTCTCACTAATCTGCCTGTCATAGATCTAACTGTCTGTGGCATATAAGTACAGATGCATTAGGGAAACCCTCATGATCCAGCATATCCCCTAGTCTACCATTAGCATCATGGTGATCACTCCATTTCAATGAACAGTGCAGAAGGCATGGCAGGAGTAGCACCAGGCATTCCTAAAAATGAGGTATCAACCTGGTGAAACTACAATAAGGGAACACTTGCATTCAAAGAGCATAAGTAACAAGTGATATACAGAGCTAAGTGATTCCACAAGCAATGTATTGTAACATATCCAATTGTAAATGGTGGTGGACAATTAAACAACTCACTGGAGCAGGAGGCACCACAAACATTACCATCATCAATGATGGGGGAGTCCAGCATATCATATGATTACACTGAAGCATTTGCAACAACCTTCAACTAGAAGTATCGAGTGGATGATGCATCTGATCCTCTTCTGGAAGTTCCCAGCATCATTGATGCTAGTCTTCAGGTGATTTAATTGACTCCATGTGATACCAATAAATATTTGGAGTCTCAGAATATTGTGAAGGGTATGGGCTGTGACAACAATTTGGCAATAGTACTAAAGATGTGTCCTCTGGAACCAGCCAGCGCTCTGGCCAAGCCATTCTACTATAGCTACAAAACTGGCATTTATCCAACATTGTGGAAAATTGTAGAGTTATGTCCTATAAACATTTATCAGGACAAGTCCAATATGGCCAATGAACCCATCAGTCTACTCTCAATCATCAGTAAAGTGATTGAAAGTGTCAACAATATTGACACCAAGCAGCATGTGCTGTGCAATAAGCCGTTCAAAACACTCATTTTGGGCTTTTCCAGGATCACTGAGCTTTTGACCTCATTACAAACATGGACGAAAGAGCTGAATTCCAGATGAGAGGTGAAAGTGCCAGCCCTTGACCCAAGGCCAGATTTGACAGAATGTGGCATCAAGGAGCCTTGGGAAAACCAGTGTCAATGGGAATGAGGGACAATAAGACCATAAGATTTCTGCTTTAGTACCAGTCTGAAGAAAGCTGCAGCAGAGTGGGATTTGGGAGTCCTCATCCAGGAATCACAATAAGCCAGCATCCAAGTTCAGTAGGTCATAGGGAAGGGGAATGAAATGTTGGTTGATCCCAAGTGTGGAGAAATTTTCGTATGGGTTGAAATTGAATAGGTTTGGCTTGTACTCATTGGAGTTTAGAAGAATGACAGACAACTTTATTGTGTCATATAGGATAGTTAAGGGAGCTTGACAGAATAGTTGCTGAGAGGTTGATTCCCTTTGTAGGACCAGACGGCGTAATTTCAGTATGAGGTCATTGTCCACTTAAAATAGAGATGGGGAAGAATTTATTCTCTCAGAGGGTGGGTCAATCTGTGAAATTCTTTACTGCAGAAGGATGTAGAGGCTAGTTCAGCAAGTATATTCAAAACTGAGATGGACAGATTTTAATCAGTAATGGGATCAAGGGTTATGGGGAAAGGCAGGTAAATGCAGTTCAACACTATCAGATCAGCCATGATCTCAATGAAGGCATGATGGGCAGAATGGCCTATTTCTGCTCTTACATTATGTGTATTATGTTTTGGAGTTTCAACTAGCACAAAGGAAGATGGCTGTGGTTGTTGGAGCTCTGACATTTCAGCTCCAGGACATCTCTGCAGGAAGTCCTCGGGGTAGTTTCCTATGTGAGATTGGGCCCAGTGACTGCACGAAGGCCATATATTCAAAGTGCTTTTTCCTTAGGTTTAACAGTTAATAAACTTTCCCTTTCTTTGACTCAAAGAAAACTTATTGATTGGATCGTTATTGCTCAGAATAAAAATAGTTAACTAAATTTTAAAGAGCTGTGGTATGAAGTATTTAAATAATTTAAGTGTTTAAGATTTTGAAGATATGAGTTAAGCTTCTGTTGTGACCAACTCAGGAAGATGCACAGAACTGTTTGCCCTTACTCACTTGGCCATAATGGTTTCTGCCTGCAATGATTCTATCAAGTAGCATCTGTTAGGCTGCATGTAAGTCTGTCTATCCTGAGTTCGTACTGCACTGATCGCTTGAAAGCCAAATTTGAAGCAAGTGGCACTGCTTTAATTTATGGATTTTTGCTGATATGATCAATATAACAAGGATGTGCTATCTACACACTGTCTGAGATATTTTTAATCAACCTATTGAGATATGCTATGACACACCTTTGGAGCACCTTTGAATCTGGACCTCATAGCTAAGTGCACTGTATTATAGTCTTAGGAAGCCATTTGGTACCTGAAAGAAACAAAAACAGAAAGTGCCGGGAAAACTCAGCGGGTCTGGCAGCATCTTGGAGAGAAAGCAGAGTTTACATTTCAGATCCAGTGATCCTTCTTCAGATCTGTTCTTCCAGCAATTTCTGTTTTTGTTTCCAATTTCCAGCATCTGCAGTTTTTGTCTGTACCTGAAAGACTTTACCTGCACAGTTGAATTTGTAGTCTTCCAGTCACTTAACAGTTCAACACACCAACTTACTCGCATGCTAACATTTTTGTCTTAGGTCTGCTACAGTGCTCGCAGAATCCCTGCAGTGTGGAAGCAGGTCACTTGGCCCATTAAGACGCACCACCCCTCCAAAGAGCATACCACTCAGACCCATCCCTGTAACGATGCATTTTGCATGGCCAATCCACCTAACCTGCACATCTTCGGACTGTGGAAGGAAACCCATGCAGACTTGGGGAGAATACATAAGCTTCTCACAGACAATTATCTGAGGCTGGAATTGAACAGATGTCCCTGGTGCAGTGAGGCAGCAGTGCTAACCACAGCCACTGTACTCAATAAAACTCAACATTTGCTCGAGAAACAGCACCTCCCTTTCTGTTTGGGCTCTTTACAGCCTTCAATGCTTGACACGTAGCTCCACTCAATTACAGCTCCACCCACCCTGCCTTGTACCTTGTTGTCATAAGTTTGCTTTCAACGGAGCTGATTTACTTTCTGTAATAAACAAATCCCCTCCCCCTACCGCATCCCAAAACCAGCCCAGCTCGTCCCTGCCTCCCTAACCTGTCCTTCCTCCCACCTATCCCCTCCTCCCACCTCAAGCTGCACCCCCATCTCCTACCTACTAACCTCATCCCGCCCACTTGACCTGTCCGTCCTCCCTGGACTGACCTATCCCCTCCCTAACTCCCCATCTACACTCACCTTTACTGGCTCCATCCCCGCCTCTTTGATCTGTCTCCTCTTCATCTATCTTCTCCTCCATCCATCTTCTATCCGCCTCCCCCTCTCTCCCTATTTATTTCAGAACCCCATTCCCCTCCCCTATTTCTGAAGCAGGGTCTATGCCTGAAACTTCAGCCTTCCTGCTCCTATGATGCTGCTTGGCCTGCTGTGTTCATCCAGCTCTACACCTTGTTATCTCAGATTCTCCAACATCTGCAGTTCCTACTATCTCTTTAACTATTAACATCTATTCGGAATCTATACCTTTTCTCTACTACCATTAGCACTCTCTTTATCTTTTGCTCTGAGCACTTCACCATCTGTTCCACTTGCTCCTGCACCCCTCCCCTACTTTGGCAACATCATTTTGCAAATCTCATCAAAGGTAATCAGTTGTTTCTCTCTTCCACATATGCAGCCAGACTTGCTGAGATTCTTCAGCAATTTCTGTTTTTATACCTAAAATTGCACGAGTGTTTCCCCACTGTTTGTTCTGTGCTTTTCCCTGTTAGGAGCATTACACCTCACTTGTGAAGCACCGGCTGAATGCCTTGAGTTTTTGTCTTTTTTAAAATGTTAGGGGCACAGCGCCACCAGTGGCAGGACTGGGGAGTGCTTGTAAACGCCCGGGACAGCGCCCCATGTGGAAGGAGGGAGAACCTGGTTTATAACGTGTCCCGCTCATCATCGCCCCCAAATGGTCCAAACTCGGACTTACAGCAGGACGGAAAGCTGCCGGCGAAGGGGAAGAGCTGACCTTTGACCCCCATCGCTCAGGAGACAAGATGGAGTCCGGGGGTGTGTGACGACTGTTGGAAGGTTTCTCGCCTCAGGTAAGCGGGGAGTCTCCGGGCCCCTCCCAGGAAAACAGCTGGAGAGATGGGGGTGAGCTGGTGAATGAGGGCGGACTGTGGGGAGAGGCCGCTCAATTCTCCGGGAAGAGCGCTGTGTGGCGCAAAACGTTCAAAATGGCTTTTCCTCCTCCTCCTCCTCTTTCCCCCACCCACCCGTGCCTGGGCTCTAGCTCTTTTTGGAAAAAAAAGAAAAAAAATAAATATCGCGATTAGTGTCTTCGCCGCACTTTCGGATGGAGCAAAAATAAAATGCTCCGAAGATCTTACAAGACGCTTGTTGCATGAAATTCTTCCCCATGCCCAATAAACTGGAGCATTTTCTCACCGATCAGCTGTAGCAGAGTTGGCTGTAATTTCCATTTTACTTTCATTTGCCAAGGCCTAGACTTTGGGTTTGGTTCAGGTTAGGAACATACTCTTTTATTGTGTTCCAGAGATAAAGCGTTCATTTATCTGTTCTTCAACAGATCAACGCTTAATTGCACTGTCAATATTTGAAATGTCCAGATTGTATATCGCTTTAAGGAAATCGATAGAGTTTTATTAGTCAGTCGTGTCTGCTTCATTGTGTTCACTTTGGGACTGAAGACGTTATATTTAATGCTGTAAATTCGATCTGTCTGCAGTAAATATGATTTTTGAAAAGTATGATTCTGGCCATTGGCGTTCATAGTTAATGTGTTTCTCTCGTGACATGGCAGCCATGAGCTGGTAACAGATCAGTTAATCATCTAAAGATCCTACCGCCCCCGTTAGACCCATCTTAAAAATAAACTTGTGCAGAAGTAGAGAGGGAGTACTTGTGTTACAGTATGAGATATCTGTAGTTCTTGCTACTGAAGTCAGAGACAACACAGTGCGGGGCTGGAGGAACACAGCAGGCCAGGCAGCATCAGAGGAGCAGGAAAGTCGACGTTTCGGATATATATTGTTTTCTATCTTGGATATTTTTAAAAATAAAATGTAATAAGTTGTGACTTGCATTGCCTACATTTGGAGGCTGTGCTGCAATATGATGTATTGCAGTCTTGATACTTCTAATTGTTTTTTTTTTAATTACAGTTTTTATTATCACTTGTTATTTTCTGTTCTCCTCTGGACTGGGTTGAATCTTACCAAGTTAGTTTTCTCCAGTATGTTAGTGACTAAGCTTTTTTTCTTTGTCTCTTGGCCAAAAGGAAGGTGAAAAGCAGGATGTATGAATGTTTTCTTGAATATTTATGCAGTTTGCTTACTGTGAATTGTTTAACTGCTGGAGTGATGTGCAGTATGGGGAAAACACTTGGTCTTCAGCACCATGGAAACACTAGCAACAT